CCCCCCCCTTGGTGCCATGGAGATCGATCCGAACTCGAACTCGAACTCGAACTCGAACTGGTTCTCCCTCCCTTGGTGCCATGGACATCGATCCGAACTCGAACTCGAACTCGAACTGGATCAGTTAGAACCTCCTGGGGCACGGCCTGCATGAACATGTGCTGCACTGCCAGAACTGCCATACCGCCCTCACTGCACTACGTTGCCAGTAGAGCCTTTCTGGACTGCACCGCACTCCGTAGGCTTGTTAAGCTCCCAGGCCAGCATAAATGGAGGGGAATATATATGCAGAAGAAAATGCCTTTGCCATTTGCCCAGCCATGAGATGGCCGCCGTGGCTGCGCATGATTCCTGACACAGGTTATGTGTCTGGATTAGCGTAAGGCACACTTCTCTCTTGCGAAAGTCAGGCTCCGAACAGCGGATTGAGTCGTCGTCCTCGCCCTCATCGTCTGCAATTTTGTGAGCCTGCCGGAATGGGAGCCTCAGCTCTTTGTCCAAGGTGGGCGGGAGGTAGCAGAGAGGTTGTTGGATGGCGCCCAGGGAGAACCTTAGTTGCTCGTCTGCGGAAGCCAAACCACAGCCAATCTTGTGCAAAGATGGCATAAGTACCATGCAAGGACTCTGTTTCACCTGTTTCACATGGGCCATGCATGTTGGCGGATAGTGACCGCAGTGCTATGGAAGAGTGAACACCTTCTGCAGCCTCTTAAGCCATCGAGAGGGAGACAGTGGGTGGATGTTGCGCCTCCCTTGCGGGAGGAAATCAGCAGGTCAGCCCTTTCGTTGCGATGCCTTTCCACTGCCAGACTCGAGATTAGCCTCTGTCTTTCGTAAGTGCAATCAGGGATGGATTGTGCCACGGAGAGGGAATTTTCCACGGCTTGCCACGCTTCGCAACTGATGACTCTTTGGCATTTGTCATCTGCCAACGGCTGACTCTGCCCTCGTTACCTCGTTTGATGCCACAAGGTCACAAGGTTTCGAGTGCCCACCCATGAACGGCTTGGATGACTTCATCCTTGCCAACGGTGCGAGGCCACCTTTGATTGGCCGAACAGAGCAATCACCTGCATTCAGAAACATCTCGCTTTTCGTAGGGAATTCAGGCCCGTAGATAACTTGCAGTTTGTCATTTTCACCCGTCTCACTTAGTACAGAGGAAACACTGCCTACATTGTCTGGGGGTTTGTGTGGTGTTTTCGTTTTGGGTTTGTGTTTGGGGTTTGGTTGGGTTTTTGTTTGCTGTTTCTGGTTCTGTTTTGGTCTTTTCTCCCCTTCAATATGCAGTGTTTCCTATCCTTCTACGATGACCTGGGCACACCGCCCACATGGCGTCTGCACTCGTGGAAAAAAAAATTAGCAAATTTCACAAAGCAGAAACCAGAACAACGTGGAGAGGACCATATGCCGAGCATAGCGCGTTTGATAAATGCCATCAGCTTGCTAAACCCAAATGGATTCATCTTCTCCCGCCGAATCAAGGCGGTGCTAGGACGGTTGAGGCTGAAGAGTTTTACGAGGAGCTACGCAAGGACCTGCACTAACTTTGCTAGAAGCCCAGGCTAGCACCCATGTGCCGGTCCTGCCAACAACATGAACATGCCAAGTGACCTGCTGTACAGCAGCGCAGATCAGCTAGACAGCGCCCAGGCTGCCACCCTAGTCGCGGTCCTGGATGAGTACAAAGTGCACAGGCCTGTATAGCAAATGCGACATAGGATAGGCGGCGTTTCGCCCTGTCTCACCTAGTAAGGGGCCTGCATGTTCCAAGACTCGCACACTCACGGCATACCTGCAAGGTGCTGATCGATGCTCGACAACTTGTTGACAACGAGTCAGTCTACCTCTCAGTCTGGCTCCCTGTGACCTCTTTGGAAATTTTGTCTTTCTGTGGCTCCCGTGGCCAAGCTGTTTTTTTGGAGTCATCGCCGCAAATTCAAAGAGCACAACTGTCGTCTCCCCCCTTTGGATTCGTGCATGCTCACAACGCTTCACTGCACTGCATGTTTTGGCTTCGCTGTCTCACGCTGTCCTCGTCAGCTGACACAGTGGTGTTCCTTGAGCCTCATGTGCCTAGATGTCCAGTCCGACAATTTTGTCTCTACTACCCTTATGATGTTGGCCTTGTGTGGTTCTTTTGCCTATGTATGAGCGGCCGCTCAAACACCGCTCAAACACTCGTGCTACTCCAGCCCTTGCAACACGGCACACTACTGTGCTGGACCAGAGTAGCCCCTTTGTAGCATGGCCCATTGCCGGCAGAGGTCCTCGCACGAAGGACTCAAAGAACTTTGGCTGCTGCAACTATGCTGGTACTGCCGTCTCATGGGAAAATGACTAAATGACATGATGGTGACGTACTGAGTGCAAAGGCTGAATTCATTGCCCCATGTCTCACCTTTCTCGACAGGCTGACATTGCCGACTCGAGTTACGAACCTGGCCTTTGTTTTGGGGTTTTGGTTTGTGGGTTTGTGTTTTTTGTTTGTTTGTTTGTGTGTTTCCTGTTCGGTGGTGTTTGGCCTCATGGTTCGTAACTCTCTCTTTACTAGCTTAAGATGACTTGTGCATCCTCTGCACACATAGCGCCTCGACCCGTGCAAAAAAAACCGGAACCACGAAGGCCCACGCGAGGTCCACCTGATTGTTTGCGCTTGCAACAATGCAATGCGAAACAAGCGATCAGCAAAACGGAACGCTGAAAGTGACATCAAAAATGGTGATTTTTTGACAACCAATCAAGCACCTTTCCTGAGTGTGAAGTTCTGGTTGTGTTCCAGCAACATCAAAGGAACCTCAAGTGTGGCTGCCAGGCAAATTCTTGAGGTAGTTGAGCCGGTCTCTGTGAAATCCAAAGGGGACACTCCCCCCCCCCCCCCCCCCCCAATTTTTGCAGTACAACTCCAATCTCAATGTGCTTTTTGAATGGTTTCAGTCTGTTTTGCAGACACATTATGTGCCAGGATTTGTGCAACAAACAATTTATCTCACAATTGGCACAACTCCTGACTCACCTGGAGGCAGTATAATGATTCTCAGCGCACCACTTTTCAAGCAGTTTTTTTTGCAAGATCATTTATTGAAGTGGATTGTTTTTTAAGTGATACATTCTTCAACGTCATCTCACCCAGAGCGTTCATGAAAGTGCACGGCGGGCTGAAGTTCCAATGTGTTCAATTTCAGCTGGAACATCAAACCGTTTGCTTTTTTGGTTCAGTCAAGTTCGCTTGACGCCATGGCACGACATTGTTGTCCTTCACCCAGTCCCTTAAAGATGTTGAATGGTCACGCGTTTTGAAATAGACTGTGCCTATGAGGCCTTGTGTTCCTGTTGATAGCAACGCAGGCGCACAAGGTGTGGTGTCAAATATGATCACAGTTTGTGCATTGCACAAGGACTTTGTACGGCAGTGCAAAATCCAACCATTTGCTGAAGTGAAGTGGTAGGGTGGTAGAGGCTACTGTTTTTGCATTGACTTGAGAGGCATATTCCGTTTGAACAACTATATATGTAGTTTGTGCTTGCGCATGGATGGTGGATAGTCAAAAACGATTGTTTGGGCTATCAGCCAGGTCCAGAGGAATGTAGCACTGTGAACAGCTCAGATTCTTTCCAAGGTAAAGTTTCAGTGCATCACGAGTCACGGCGCATCACCTCATTTGAGCGAGCATTGGTCGGAGGGACCCTTGATGACAGTTGCTGGTCTTTTGTAGGCGAGGAGGAGGAGTACATGATCATCAGCTCCGTGTGTGGCTTGTCCTGAATTGGGGTCTCCATTTGCAACATTTTTCTTCCCCATCAGCTAAGCTTAGCCTTGCTTTTGTATGTTTAGTTCTTTAGCTGTCTTTCTGATGCAGCGGACAGATTAGTATTTCAGGGATGCTGTTGTCATTTTTTGCATTGCCAATACATTGACAATTTTTTTGCAGTTTTAGCAGAGCTGACTAGCTGACTGTCAGAAACCAGGTGCAATGCGTACGCCTATGAAGCTGCAGTGGTCGCTCCTTTGCAAGTTGTTACTTATGCAAAACTTTCAATCCACAGTTCTACTATAACTACTTGGCAACTGGATGTGTTATTCTAAAATTCAAGCAGACCTGCGTTCTGGGCAGGAAAACCTTGGACTGAAGCTTTCGTGGGCTCACAATTCCTCTCAATGCGTTCCACTCCTGTCTACAGTACTTATGAACCAAGACATTAAGAGCTTCTGCTTTGCACCCATGCAATAAACCGGTGCAGAGAGAGAGAGAGAGAGAGAAGAGACAGAGACAGAGACAGAGACAGAGACAGAGACAGAGACAGAGACAGAGAGAGAGGTTTCGTTTTCAGAAACTCTGAGGACATCCTTGTGGGGGAAGACAAACTCACGAAGGATAAGCTGGATACTCGTGCTTTTCAAGCAGGGTGAGGTAGAGAATGGGAGAGGAATGACAATAAGATGATTAGAGCAAGCTCAAACGGCTAAGGCCTCTTCCCTACCGACAATGCCATGATTTTCAGGTTCTGCTGCAGGTGCACGAAGTGTTTGACAATGCCTTTGTTTATTTGCTTTAGATCGGCGCCTATTGCAAGTATCCATTTGCAAAGCTGCGTTGGTATTCACCGTTTGCATAGCAATCTTATGCGAAAGGTTCAAGGTATATACGATATGTATTATGTACAGTGTGTACACCTTTGAGCGAAGCTCACGTGCTTAATTAATGCCAAGTTACGCATGGCACGTGTGACTGGACATGTAGTGTGTCTTTGGCAGCAAAGAGCAGCGCACTGTTGTGCCTTTCTTTGTTTTAGTTTTGTGCAGGCCAACGACAGGCTAGACTTCCGAATTGGCAATGCCACGACTGGAACATTTTCAGTGCCAGAAGCCCAGCTGGAATCTAATGTTGTTTGTTGTTTTTTCTTTTGTGCAGTTGAGGGTGCCACAATGCCTTTTGTCTTTCGTTTGCCAGGTCAGAGTTGCCGCCCACAGATGCATTGCTATTGCTGGTAGTATTCCGTTCTCTCCCAAGAGAGTTTACACGGTGAAATATTACTGAAGGTGTGACGAAGACTTGGACAAGTGACCTGCCAGAAGGCAACGAAAAGAGACAAAGGCATTTTTTACTTCGACATTGCTCGACATTGCTTCGACGAGGCCATGATGTTGAAAGCACTGCCGTTTCCTTTGAGTCACACGTCTTCATTCCGGCCAAGACCCCACAGGCCGCGAACATACACACATACATGCTATTTGGGTTTTCACGTCCAGTGCCGCCTTTCGCCTTTGCTGTCGGTTTCGGCTCCCACCTTCCGAAAGGATGGGTACGGTATATGCGTCACGTAGATGTGTGGACATCTTTGTTTGAAACTAGATTGAGGGAGAGGGTAGGTGGTAGGGACATGTGTCTTTCAGAGAAGAATAGGTTTAAGGTGATCTAAAAATACATACAAAGGTGGTAAATGGTCAACATACATCTACAATGATTTGCGCTTGATGGGATGTCAGACCTCTAAATAGTTTAAATATATCAAGAAGAGAACCTACCACTGACCACTATGCCAAACACTTCATTCGCAAGCAACATTTGCGGCAGGAAAGCGTTTACAAGACCAGGGTTGTGTGGGGGATGGCGAGGGGGGTCTCCATTGCCAAAATGGTTTATCATGGTTTACAATATCTTGCTTTCTTCCTTGATTCTGCATGGCTTTTCTATTCTTTTTTACTGCTTGATGATTGGCAAGCACATGCTTGGAGGAGTTCTCCAATGGTTCTCAGCAATGATCTTGGAAGATTGTGTTCAGATGTATTCTTGAGCATTCACCCATGATTCGAGATGCATGTTTGCCTTCTGAGATTAAGGGGTATGTAGGTCTCTGTCAGGTCCAAGACCTGGTCAAGCTTTTCTCTAGTCTATTAAAACATGTGTCACTTGAGCATGGCCTCTTCTCTGAACATCATCAGTGTATCCTTTTTGTTCTTTGGAGTTATCCAATTGGTCAACAGGTGGCCATTATTGACACCTTCTTGGGCACCAGTGACTTCAAGTTGGGTGCCACAGGTGCTGGCAGGGGCCACCAGGGTCTTGCAAGGCAAGTACAAGGATCCGAGCAGTTGTTTCCTGGGTTGCCGAGGCCAGTGATTTGGGATGGGAATCAGACTGAGAAGCTGCGATTTGGGAGGGTCCTTGGCTTAGCTTGATGTTCTGTACATTTCTTTTTGTGACAAAGGTGGTGACCGGTGAAGGGTTTTTGGGTGGATGAACCAGGTCATCTCTGTGAATCCGGGCAAGTACACGATCCAGCTACAAAATGAGGAAAATGAAACCGAGGCGGGTGAGGAACATTAACAGACCATTTCTTCTTTCTTTTGATATGGTCAAGAACTATGTAGGAATTGGACGTGTGGATGGACCAGGGTTCTGTACATGCGGAATCAAGATCGATTTTACACGCTGTTTCCTGGATCGGTTACCATTGTACACGCAGATTCTTGCTTTGGTGTTCTAGATGCCCAAGAAAACATCAGCTTGCAAAAGGCCAGCTGCGGTCGAAGAGTTTCCAGTTGCGTTGGTGATGATTGTGATGCATCCCCGCCCCATCCCCACCCCCACATCCCCACCCCATAAAGTACTTGTTTGTTTGGACGCAGAACACATCCCCACCTCAAGCCCACCCACCATCCCTCTGTGTGCACAGATATTCTGGATTCTGTGTGGGCAGCTGATCCAGATTCTGTGTGCGCAGCTGATCCTGGCCGTGTGCGCAGATGATCTCTGTTCCCTGTGGATTGCACAGCCAAGCATCACCCAGAAGCTTCTTCGAACTTTGAGCTGCTTTAGCCGTTTGAAGCCTGGGACGGGTATGGCAAACCAAGCTTGAGGTCCTTGCAAGGAGAGCCAGCCTGCTGTGGTTGTCACTTCCCTGACGAGGATGCAGTTTCCATGGAGACCAGACCAGGTGAGAACTACGTGGTCCGGAGCTGAGAGAGCGAAGTGGCATGAGCTTTTTTCAACACACCTTGTTCCTATCATCAGAGATGGATTCTATATTTGATCGCTTTGTGTGAAGACCAGGCTTTGCGAATAGGTGCACGAGTACAGCACGGTCCAAGCTTTCGTGAGGAAGCGTATGATTTCATCACTACTAGCAATTGGAAGCATGCATCTTGGCTTTGCGTCGCCTTGGTAAACACGCTCCAAAACATGTCCTTTCTTCGTTCTCCTTATGTTTCTCTGACTTTAAGCAAGATCGGCTGGAGAAATGAATGAGAGCTCCTCAAGACTTCTTTGACTCGTTTGATCCTTGGTCAGCTTGGTGCCCTTGGCAGGAGCTGATCACGTTCCCGCAGGCGAAGGCTGGGCAAAGACCAGGGTTCAAGCCTCTCCAAGCCTTTAAGGGAAAAAGGTAAGGCCGCAGAAATGTTTAAGTGTTCAACCCATGCTGGGGTTTAGCTCTTCGACAGTCTGGTTGCTACACGTTCCAAAATATGCACTCGATCAAGTCCACTTAGGCTTGATGCTCATTTGTGTAAGTCTGTTGGGGCTTTGAGCAGGCTGACATGTTTGGCCGCAGCACCGCATTTATGGTGGCTTGGCTGGCTGCGCTTTGAGAGGACGTCGATGTGCATTGTGGGAGGTTTTTGTTGAAATTGTAGTCACACTCCATAAATTTGAAAAACAATACTTTTGAGGTCAATGGATTCTTTTGGCTCTCGTGGATACTTCTCTGAGGCAGTTGCGTCAAAAGAAGAGAAGGAGGCCATGACTTTCTGGAACACTTGGTGGCGAGTAATGTGAGATCTCCAAGGCGGTCCAAGGCAGTTTAGGCTTTAGACATTCTTGTTTTTCATTATCGCACAATCTATAGTGTTGCAGTCCACAACATCGTCCAAACATTTTTGAGGATGCATGAACAGCTAGTGGGACAAGCTTCACCGCTGCTCAAAACATATAGACATGTCATAAGCTGGTGCTGAAGCTCTTATGTGTGTTTTGGGGCAAGGTAGTTTTCCAGGTCCTATAATAAATAGACAAGGAGGTTGATTCCTTTGAGTGCATGGATCTCAACTGCTCCAGGTACATTTTAGATCGAGGGCATCTCCCAGGCCGCATATTTTTTTGATGAGGATTGACATAAAGTCAGCAAGAAGTCTCAACGTGTCAATTGGTCACTTTGCTTCTGTAAACTCTGTACATCAGCTTTATACTATAAGCATAGCATGTCATTTGTGCAACCGGATTTGCCAAACCCTGAGGCTCCGTGTTTGTCATGCCTTCCCATCAGATGAGCCCATGTCGGTTGCTTGGCGCGACATGGTGCTCACTGGCGACCAGTCAAGGCCTCGGCCGCCTAGATCATTTCCAGTCGTAGAAAAATGGCATGAAAAAAGCCTCTCGATCAGTTCCCCAAGAGTAAGCTCTCATCTTTAGCAGACTTCAGTGACTGCATGCTACCCGCATGATCATCACTACGTGACCATACCGAACGGAGCATCGTTGCGACGATTCCGAGGCCTCTGACCTACAAAACCTGCAGAGACTTGCAAGCTGCTGCCCTGAAGGTGCAATTGGGCTGGACGTTTGGCCAACGTTTTGAAAGATGTTGGTCATTTGGCAGGTCACTCTTAACTTCAAAATGATTTTGATGTGAATTTCCTGGAATTCCTGCATGAGTTAGGACTATATAAAGACTAAAAATGCCAGGTCGGAGAGGAGCTCCACATCGGTTTGCGGAACGGTCCCAGCAACACTTTCCAGATCTCTGTAGCTCAGATGACAGAAGGGCAGGGAGGAAGCGTTGTTTCTTGGAGCAGCATGCCTGGTGATGCTTGAAGCTACCCGGAGGACTCTACATTTTTGTTTTTTGGGGTAAATTGTTCAACTTAGTGACGTTCGAGAAACCGTGCAATGAACTACTTTGTTTGCCTATAGTATACAGTAATACAGCAATACAGTAGTCACGAACTGGAAGTGAAGCTGCATTGTTAGTGGCTTCTCTCTTGGTGTACCATGGAGAGGTCTGAGGTCAGTAGTCAGTTTCGCCTTTGTCTGAAGCTACTGCCCTAGGATTTTCCTGAAGGAGAACCAGAGGGAACGCTATTGCTGGTTTGTTTTCGTGGCTGCGCTCAGATGGATTGATGTATTACATTGGTGTGGAAGTGTAGCAGTACTGCTGGTACCTTTGCAAGCGCCAGCAGGCTACTGTGTCGGACACAATACTAACAACATGCCTATTGAACGAAGCCCCACAGTTTGGTTTTGCGGGACATCTTAAGCAAGTAGTGGGCCGAAGCAAACGAAACCAACGCTTTGACCTTGAATGTACCTGTGCCCCTCATACAACCACATCATGACGTTATTTGGGTAAGAAAGACATTATGACATATCGACACATTGCAACTACAAATATCATGTATGACATATATATGATATGTACTGTACTCTGTAGGTTTGCTTCAAATCGCCACACTTCCTGAGGCCGTGGCCGCAGTACACTCGACCTCGAGTTCCACTCGCATGCCTTTGCACCGACACGCAACAGCTCTGCACAAATGGCAGCAGCCTCATCCAGAAACCCATTCAGTTCTGCACAAGTGTATTTTATTCTCAATATATATATACATACCATATAAATACAAAGAATGCATTCTTGCTTTTTCCAGTAGCAACAGGTAGCTGCGGCAGCAATGGGTAGTATGTATGTACGTGTGTGTGTGAATCAAATCCTTTTGTCCAAAGCAGCCTCCAAGAGAAATGGGCTTGTGTCGAAGCAGATGAGGAGGTTTGACAAAAAATATGGCGGCCTATGTGGGCCTCATGGATGGATCTGGTAGGGTATGGGAGCACTGGTGTGGTTTGGTGCAGCGTGTCATCCAAACTTGCTTGCTCCTCTCGGGCTCCAACCAATTGGAAAGTTGGATTGAACACCTGTGGCAAAAAATGGCTCGAAGGTCGTGAAGTGGCTTTTTGCACTGACTCAGCCAAGAGCTAGCAGCTACAAGCTTGGTGTCTTAAAGGTGTCCTGCGTCACCAAGTTGTTCATTACAGAAAATTAGGGTGAAAATTCAAGGGCGTCGGAAATGCCCACAGTCCGAATATGTCCGACTCGTCAATCACAAAGGCTCTCTAGCAACACAAAACAATCAAGGCCAGGATGGAACACAGAAATGGCAGCTGGAGATTATTGAAGAAGCAACTGAACTTGAATCAGAGCGCAAAGTCTGTTCTGCCACACTTCGTTTGAAGATGCTGACATCTTGAACGCCACAGGACAGTCGTACACTTGGCACTTTAAGAAGAAGAACAATACTGTATTAATAATAAGAATAATAATAAGAATAATAATAATGAGAAGAAGCAGAATAATAAGAAGAAGAATAAGAAGCATAAGAAGAAGAAGAAGAAGAAGAAGAAGAAGAATAGGAAGAAGAAGAAGAAGAATAGGAAGAAGAAGAAGAATAGGAAGAAGAAGAAGAAGAAAAGAAGAAGAAGAAGAAAAGAAGAAGACGAACAGAAGAAGACACTGCAGTAACCCAGCAAGTCTTTGGCCAAAGAACCGTCTGAGCTTTGCTGAATTGTTCTCCAGGTGAGTTTTGTTTCACACCAATTTTTCATTGTCTTGTCTTGCTATATCTTCAAGTTCTTTATCACACCAGCAATTTGTATGTTTCACACATTTGTTGTCTGCTTCTCTCATCATTTCAGGGTGCACCTTATTTGTCCTTACACATTTGTACGCATCTGTCTCTCTTCATCTGAGGTCTCAGGGTGCTTTTTGCGAGTAGCATACAAAAATAAATATATCTTCATGTATCGAACAACGAAGGACAAACTTTTGGTTGTCAAGTTTTCTTTGCCCACATTGCTGCAAATGGAATCCGCATTATTTAGCTTTGCGTTGTGCACATATTACTTGCAACATGGTTCCAGTGTTTAAGGCAATTCTTGACACCTATGATGCCCTCCCGCCATGGTTGAATAAGGGTTGCACCTCCTTTTGTGCAGCAGGATTGCCAAGACAAAGATTCAGTCTTGTGGTACGATACTGATTGTCCTGAGAGCATTGTTGCTCACCTGCGCCCAGCCAAGAAGAATGCAAATGGCAATCGAAACTCAGGTCCAAGGTCACAAAAATGACTTCTTGATGACATGCTGTCGAACCTTTATGTGATACCTCTTTATCTCATTTTATCTCCTGATGTCCTTCAGTCCTTGTTGCAGGGGCCAGTGAAGTCTGAGATGTCGGAGCTGCACGTGGGCAGAGCGGGTGAAGTGAACGCAGGCTGGGGCACAGTGGCCCTACACGGTGTTGGTTCCAACCCTCAGACTTTGGCCCTCGGGGTCAGAAAAAGCTCCTAGTAGGGTCCTTGTTCCTAGCAGTATGGCCAAGAGCCCCTAGTAGCGTCCTTGCTTCTAGTAGCGATGCCGGGAGCCCTTAGAAGCTTCTTGTTCCTAGTAGTAAGGCCAGGAGCCCCTAGTAGCGTCATTGTTCCTAATAGTATGGCCAGGAGCCCCTAGTAGCGTCATTGTTCCTAATAGTATGGCCAGGAGCCCCTAGTAGCGTCCTTGCTTGTAGTAGCGATGCCAGGAGCCCTTAGAAGCTTCTTTTTCCTAGTAGTAAGGCCTGGAGCCCGTAGTAGCGTCCTTGCTCGCGCTCTTTGCTCCTAGTAGCCCTCCGTTGTTGCAATACTTTTCAGGTGGTGGGGAGACGGTGTCCTTTGATAGCATCGTGACAGCCGGGAGCCTTTCTTTACAGGTATTTTCTTTGAGGGCTGCTTTGGAGGCTGCGGGATCGTGCAGTCTTGTTCTATCAAACATATGACTCTTCGCACCAATCTTCAAATGGCTCTCCCTTACCAAGGGTTCTCAGCAGCGCCCGCTTGACTCGCTATGAGCGGTGGGATCAGAAAACGGCAGATTGTAAGGTGAATCCGGGCGACTACAAGCTCTGGCTAGTGGAGGATTCCAAGACTAAGGACCTTGTGTTTGTGTGGAAAATCTGACTCAGATTAGCAGAACACTTTCTCAAGGTCAATGTCATTTGTATAGTTTTTTGTTGTGGGCTTTAAACAAAACGTTTCGGTTGGTGCATGTGGGGCACTGGGCAGCAAACATTTGCTTGTGCGAAGTGACATAGAAGAACGGCGAGGGTCCCCAGAGGTATTTGCGTGCTTGATGGGTCTTCTGCTGCAACTGGTGAGGATGAGGTGGGCTTCGAAGTTGAAGCTTTATCCAGCTATGTGGCCACTTGGTGTGAAGTATTCTCTCCGAAATTGACATGTCCACGAATGGTGAGAACCAAAGAAGCTCAGCAAATCGATACTGACGTTGCACACAATGGGTGTTTGAGAGGTGTATGAAGAGAACTTCAGTGTTTTTCTCTTTTGAACCCAGAAACACCATCCTCTCCTCAAGCCTCGACGGAGTCTTTCAGGTCTTGCGCGTGGGCGGCGAAGCTCACGAATCCTCCGGAAACAAAGAGTTCCCCCAGGTGAGGGACCTCATACCGACCTGAGGGTTTGAATGGGTAAAAGTTGAGTGTGGTGGTGTTTCGGCACAGAGAATCCTGATGCATAGACACCAAACATAAGCTACTAGTGGGTCGGTGTTTTACTCTTGTTTATTCCACTAACATGTTATTTGGAATGTCCTCGTTTCTCATGATAGTGTCAAGACTTAGCTCACAGTGGTTGGAAACATAGCTTGTCCTCTATGGGCTGGAGCCTGAAGCCTTTCGTTTAGCTTGCCCTTTGCACCCCGAAAAGCTTGATAATTTGCAAGGCTTTTCTTCGCTGGGCTCGTGCTAGCACTGTGCTGCAGAAAATGCACGAAGTTGTGCCATGTAGGACATCGCCGAAATGTACGAACGAGGTGAGAGCAAAGTAAAAAAACATGCTGAAGACACACATCGATGCGCAAACAAGCACAGCGATGAACTCAAAATCCGGCGAAAACAATGAGGTGTTCAGGATGAACACTGAGTAGTGCAGTACCGCTAGTGGGTACTGACTCCCACTAGTTGCTCAGTCTTTCTGCGCAGCCCTCACTGTCAGAACTACCTCTCCCCTCTCACCAACTAGAATGACAAGTCTTGAACAAGATCAAAAGGAGTATATAACTCTACAAGATGCAAGACAGAGAAACTAAACTCTAACGATGGATTTGTTATACATGAAGTAATTCAATACAATATTAAAGAAAGACAACCTTGTAGCGAGAATTCATGAGCTCTTCCTATCATAAATGCTCTTTCCAAATACATAATACATGACAAAGGATTGCCCAGATATTGCAATTGGAGCTCTACAGACTATAGTGACAAGTATTTCAATCATTAATCATGAAGGCATAAAACATTATAAAACCAGAGGTCATGCGGTCATGCTCAATTCGCAGAAGTATATATTTACACTGTGACTGCAACTGTCGTAGGGAAATGATGCAGAGGAAAGAGAAAGACAAGCAGCAAGGCATCCTTGCAGTGGACTGACCACATTTATTGAAACACTATTAACCTATAACAAAAAGTCAGCGCATTCGGCAACAGGCTTTAGGACACCAAAGAACAGGTTGGAATCAACATCGAACATATGATGAACGTAAAAAGACAAGACATTGTTTTTAAATGTTGATTCGATTGTTTGGTTGGATTGTATTGATGATGCTGTTGTAAAATGAGTTTCCCATCCAAACACCCCCCTTCTAGTAAAGGCCCCGAACAGTTTTAGTTAGTACTAGGGGGTTCGTTTATTGCGGAGGGGCATGGTTTTGAGAGGTACTCGATAAACCCTCACGCAAGGGATTAACAATCGTAATAAGGCTTTGGACAAGGCGTAGTCAACATTCCGATTAAAGCGAAACAAAGGTCGCAAAACACGAGTTCTCAGCAATAGGGGCGAGTCCCTGACAACCGCTTCGCACGAAAAGTTGTCTGGGAAGGTTTTTACCAGATCTTTTGCTAAGCTCGTACCGAACATATTTTATAGAATATACATAATATATATATATATTTTCAATAAGAAGCCTCACTTCGCCTGTGGCAGCTCCAGTAGAGTAACAATTCAAGACTGAAAGGGCGCGATTAGAATGCAAACCAAAACCAAACGAGGGGTGCAAAAAATGAGTTTTCAATATTAGGGAATTTGGAAAGGTTTCGCAGGTAGTTGAGAGCCACGAGTAGCAGGTTTAAATATGCCTAATTTTTTAAACGCATTTTTTGAAAGCATCATTATATCATAAGCAATCTTTCCGATCGGACACATGTGTTTATATATATATATATTACGAAAGCCTGCCGATAGGCTAGGCTTGAGCTTTTAGAGCGAACGAAGCAAGTTAAGGGGGTGTGGGGGTGAAAAAATGGAGAAATGGGGGTTCTGGGGAGTTTTTGTTGGTGTGTTGCTTGTTGTGACTTTATGTTGATGTTCCTTACCTTTGATGTTTTGCTGGGGTCTTGTTATGCGTGTTTTGGGGTCATAACTTTCACTTCATTGTTTGGATTGAATGAAGGGGATAATTCTTGAGGTGTCAGAGTTTCTATGTGTAGGTTCAGGTTCAAATTCTACCAAGCTGTTCTTCAAAGATGTCGAATTATTTGCTTCAAATTCATGTATTGATTGAGGTTAGGCGCTGTGGTTCCTTTTTGGTTTTGCATATCAAGCATCCTTCAATCCAAAGCCAGATTGGCACAAATTGACTGAACCGATGTATTGTTCATATTCTTTGAAATTCTGCAGATGCATCTTTGTGAGGCAGGTTCAGCTTGCGCCAGGCCGGTTCGTCCTTCCAGGCGGTTATGCACTAACACAGCCTGCAAGGGCTTTTCCGGCGCAGACCGTTAAAGCTGGTTGGACTTTGTTGAGCACAGGGAGCGTCGTAGTGCTGGTTCTCCAGGCTCTCATGCACTTGTTCCTTCCTGGCTTCTTCATGAACAGGGCAGTGAGGAAGGCTGGGCAAAGGCTGAAAAGGAAAGAGCCCGCCCCTGCACGGCCTCTCGAGGAGGGATACATCAAGGACTTCATCAACTCACCTCAACGTGAAGCTTTGAGCACCCCTTCCTTCTTGGTGGTCAGTGGTTCCCAAGGCATTGGGAAATCAACCATGCTGAACAATCTCATGTGTGAGCATGTGAAGAATGGCAAAAGGGTGCTTCCTCTTGATATTTCTGTTCGTCCTGGTGACGACTTGAAGCTCAACGAGGCGCTGCCCCAAGCCTTACAAGCCGTAGATTTGCCCCGATATTACCCGTCAATTGTCAAATTTTTGCTGGAAAAGGTGAATGAGACGTCCAAGCGCCGAACAGGCAGTGCTGTCGTGGTGTACCTGCAGCTCACAACCAAGGGTGAGTCATCCAAGAGCAATTTTCACACATTGCATGCACAACCGCAGATACCCAACCCTAGTATCAATGATACCCAGATATCAGTATCTAACTATCAACGATACCCACAACCTAGTATCAACGATGCCCAGATACCAATATCCAAGTATCAATGATACCCAGAACCACGTATCGAGAGACGGAGAATTTCAGAGTTTGACTTCTATAGAAACCAGAACTTGGAGAGAGTGGCTTAACCTAAGAATTTCCAGAGCTTGACACTTGAGCAGTGGAAGAAGTGGCTTATCCAAGCAACCTCTCAAAGCCTGACATTTGGCAAAAACTTCCACTAAATTCATTAAAAATATATCGTAGATTGGATTGACATATGCATCCATCTCTATCTACCTATCTATTGTTCTATCGTTTGTCCTGCTTGGTCAGAAGGCCACTTCAGGGGGGTTGGGGGATGCGTGGGCGTCGGCGTTGCGTGTTTTTCTTTTTTGGTTTTTTACTTATTCAAAAATGAAAGGACGAAGAAGAGAAGAAGGGAGGAGTGAGTGATGGTGGGGAAGCGGATTTCCAAACGCAACCCCCCACACTCATTACCTACCCAAGATTTTTTTCATTCTATTTTGATTATATATATATATATATAAAAGATGGTTGGAGTAGGTTTTTTCAGTCGGGGTGGCACTGTATCGGGGAGCATCGGTAGCAAAGAGACCCCACAAGCAAACCCATACGGTGTCATTTTGACTGTTTATATGGTTATATAGTATCTAGTTGGCTCAAGTGTGGCAGGAACAGTAAATTCTAAAGTGCTGGATTTCGTAAAGAGTGGCAGGAACAGAGATTAATGAGTGAAGATTTCGTAGAAAGTGGCAGGAATTCATAAGTGAAGATTCGTGAAGTGTTATGCCAAGTCCCTCGCTTATCAACACTACACCTAAAAACACTTAAGGAAAAGTCGCCTAATAGAATTAAGATAGAAAATGCCCTGTTGTTTGTAAATCGATGGGAAAAGCAAGAAATGGATGAAGACATCTTTGACCAAATGGTTGAAGCACTCAATGAACCATCCACACCAAAAAACACACCCGCAGCGAACAGTCGTTGGAGAGCAGACGGAACTTACGACAAGAGACCATTAGATGAAGATTACTTCAAAACCTATTATCAAAAGAAACTGGAAATTCCGTTCAAGTGTCCCGACTGCGGACGCACCATTTCATCAAAATACAATTTGTCAAAACACCGCCAAACCAACGCCTGTATGAGCAACCGAAGGCACTGATGAAAATGAACAACCTTCTCAACAACATCAACTTTTGTTGAGAATGTTTGCACGTTGAGGTTCAACCCAAGTCCCCAAAACCTGAACCCCAGACCCCAGGCCAAAACTACTTAAAGACTTGCCACCTTATAGGGTAAGGAGTATATGGCAGAGGATACAAGGTTGAACATTGAAACAGAGCAGTTTAATGATTAAGACCAACATCACCAACACAACCCTCAACCGTCAAAAGACCCATCAACCATGCCTCAAATCCTACGAAAAGAAACACCATCTAATAATAGTATAGACCTTACTATTATGACAAGTCGTTCAAAGCAGATTGTATTAGATTACCTACTTACATCCGAAAAGGGGGAAGTCCTCAAAGAGAACGGAAGAGAACTAAAGAAACTCAAGATAGGGGACAAAACCTACAACTATGACAAGACAAAACAACTCACCGACAGACTGAAACGAACACTCATCACGACTGTTAAACAAACTATGGGATACAAAAAATAGGAACTGGAAACAAAGCGAGGCATTAAATGGACAAGACTGGACAAGAACAAAGCACTGGTAAGCATCCAAAAGAGGTTCAAAGCCGACATCACTAACGAACAATCTGCTTTCAAGAACTATGTGAATTCATATTCCGTCAGTAATATCAAAGTCAAGGGCCTTAAAGCCCTTCAGTATCTAAAATACCAAGACCAAAGACTGAAGGAATACCTGAACAAACATAAGGGAATGAAAATTATCATGGAAGCATACGGGACATTCAAAAGCAAGACCAACGAAGATATTAGGCACACAATAAGGAGTAGAAGATATGAAATCACCAACGCAGATGAGATAGTGAGCATCCTTTCTCAAATAGCAACTGACATAG